TTGGCTTTGAAGTACTGATTTTTTTTTGTTATTGTTTATTGGTTGGTGATGACATTACCAAAAAGTATAAATATTATATATCAAATATCTCATCCGAAAAAAAATCAATTATCTATATCTTGTTGTCAAAATGAAAAAAATAAAATATATTTTACTTGTTCAACTTCTGGATCATCGGTTTCTTTTCTCTTTCCCCGCTGTTCAAGTAAATCGTATTCTTGATACTTGACTGGTCTCTCTAACAATTGGTTATTAATATAATTATCTTGCGAGTGGTCATGGTGTTCATGATTATGATCGTGATGATGATGACCACCCTCACCCCCACCAACAACAGCACCGCCAGCACCTTGTCCAGAGTGGTCGTGAGCATGGTGGTCATGGTCGTGAGCATGGTGGTCATGGTCATGACCGTGGTCGTGTTCATGGTCATGGTCATGGTCATGGCTGTGGTCGTGTGCGTGTAGGTGGGGCTGAACTACATCTGCCATCGTCGTAGTCAAAATAATAGGTAAGGACAACTAATTGATTTCTGTGAAAAAAAGAAGCGGCGGGAAATCGTAACGTGTGTGTACACTTTTTTGTCTGTTTCCTTCTTTGCTCTTCCCTCGTTGGTATTTTAATGACAATAAATTTTCCCGAATTTGGTAGATGCTGAGTTAGTTACTACTACAGGTAAGTAGCTTGACGCATCACTTTTTTGATTATCGATTAGTTATGGGGCTGTCACACATAGTAATTTTCACCGATAAAGTAATTGGATTAATGTTCTCGATATGCAGTAAAAATAACAGCAAAATTACTATCGTTAGAAAGGCTCATTAACACACTTTACCATAATTAAATTTTTGAATCAAATGATCTTGTATATCATACAATTAAAATTTTTACGATAAGCTTTGAATAATGACGCAACGCAATAATAACAACAACAATAATAATAAAGTAGTCGAAATTTCACTACCGTACGCTAGTGATTTTCACATTCATTTACGACAGGATGCTTTGATGCGTATGGTGGTTCCACGTATTTTGGAGGGTGGTGTGTCTTTGTGTTATGTTATGGTAATATAATTTTAAATTGGTGAAAATAAATTTTGGATTCTTCGAGTAATTATATTTGATGTTTTTTTTTTGAATGAGGTGGAATAGAGAAAATGAACGGGACTTCTTTTATTGCGGGATCAATTTGATTTTATTTCTAATTTTTGTATTCATATCGATTGATTTTATTTAAACCATTCATAAAACTCAACATTATCATAAAAATCACCATCTTTTTTTTGGAAAATAATAAATCTATGATATTTAAACTGAAAAATAAATAAAAAAGCCAAACCTCAAACCACCAATAAAAACCACAGAACAAGCATTATTCTATAAGGCACAATTGGAGAAACTCGCACCATCGGTGACCTTTCTGATGTCGTTGTACCTGAGTCCTGATTTGACACCAGAAGAGATTAAAAATGCGAAACGACATGGAATTGTTGGTAACTTAAGTTTTTTGATTTGATTATCTTTCTTAATACCGTTGTACATCTACGTGCCTATATTGATTCAATATGTAAAAAGGAGTGAAATCTTATCCGCGCGGTGTCACCACAAACTCCGATTCGGGGATCGAATCATATACTGCGTATTATCCAGTGTTCAAGGCGATGGAGGCAGAAGGTATGATATTAAACTTGCATGGAGAAATTCCTAGCGACTATGACAAGGTGAATTTTGCTAAACATTTATTAATTAATCGATCGAATGATCAATTCTACGTCAATTTTGCAAAATGTATAAATTATTAATTATAATGATTATTAGGATGTATGCGTGTTAAACGCTGAAGAAAAATTTCTGGTACATTTGAAACAGATACATGCCGATTTTCCGAATCTGAAAATCGTTTTAGAACATGCTACGACAAAAGCTGCCGTTGATATGGTATGTGTTTTAAAGTTTTTGATCATCTAAATTATAATTACGCTAAGAGATGGTAATCGTTAATAATCTTGATAAAGGTTAAATCTCTTGGTGATACAGTTGGCTGTACAATCACAGTACACCACCTACAATTAGTGGTTGATGATTGGGCAGGACAGTCGCATAATTTCTGTAAGCCGGTTGCAAAATATCCGCATGATCGTCAGGCATTACGTGACGTGATTGCAGAAGGTAGTTTCTTAGATTATCCTTTTATATATGTAGTACCATAGAAATAAATATCTTTTTCACTATTAGGACATCCACGGTTCTTTCTCGGAACTGATTCAGCACCACATCCAGCATGCCTAAAAGAATGTGCACAAGCATGCGCTGGAGTATTTACCACTCCATTGGCAATACCATACTTGGCTACTATCCTCGAATCTTTTGGTGCGCTTGATAAAATTCAAGGGTTTGCTTGTGAGTTTGGGAAACGGTTTTACGGTGTCGAAGAGAAAAAGTATCATCACGAAATGGGCAAAGAACGAAAAATCAAATTAATTAGAGAAACCTGGTCCGTACCTGATCGTTTTATTTATGAACACGAAAAGGAGAGCGAACCGGATTTCGTGGTGCCTTTTTGGGCGGGAAAGATTTTGACTTGGAAGATTAATCGATAGTTTGGTTTTTGTCTGACAGAGTTCTCTTATGAGATTAATGCTCAGTTTTCTGCGTCAATATAGATTTTATACTTATTTATCTCCTTTTTTTACCAAGGGTGACTTTAAAGCAACGGACCAATAGTTCTCGTAATTCGATTATAAATCGGCAATGTAAATATATATGTATAGACTACGATTTTAATGGATTTATTTTATTGAAGGCCAAGATGGGATTATGGAGAATGTGTTACAGAATGATGGAATTTAATTCGTCATTTAATCATTTCAACTTTAAAGATATGATAGGAATAGCTAAGTCCATAGTTATTATTTGTAGTAAATTCGGAAACTCCGTTTCGAGAATTTTCTTATCCTTTCACACTGACGAATCATTTAATTCTTGTACCTAAAAGACCCGGTTTTGTTAATATCATTTCTAAACATTCGCGCCCAAATGGTTCGTCTTTATAATTGATGGAATAAATCTGGTATCCTTCCATGTGCTTCTTTTCGAGATTTTGAAGCTTCAGATTGTGAAGCACTACTAACGATGATTTAAAGACATTTTACTAGAATCATTATCTGTCTGTTTATTCAATAAAATGATACTACAAAGCTTAAGAACATGTATATGAATCAGATCCATTAATAAAAACACAAATATACACCAAAAAAATCACCTCGAGTAATATGCTGGATTCGAATTTTAAGGTCGAGTGTTTGAAAATTATTCTTATCTGGGAATTATAATTGTCGATATTGAGTGGAACATCACGAAGAGCTGTCGAGATCCAAGCTATTATGTATCAGCATCTGCCTTGTCACGAGATGCTATGCTTAAAATGACTGGAGTTGAAATAGAGCTTCTTACAGATACATCAATGCATAATTTTATCAAGAGAAAAGGCTGAATATCGAGCTAATAATCCAAAGATTCTGATTTATCTCAATCCATATTATGTGATATGACAAATTTATATAGTTGGCTATGAGTTAATATATGCCCATTGGAAATTAGAAGTAGAAATTATCTAGAAAAAAGAGATCCGATATATAAAAATAATATCTAAATACAATTCTCAAAATAAGACAAATATGTTTCAAGAAATATTTTGTAAATATTAAGACATTCTTTAATAAATATTCATGATTATCTTAATAATTTATTATTAATTATAATAATAAAGAGCTTGTAGAAAAATTGATGAAAATTAATTTTCAGAAATTAAAAAGTTAGTTTCATATCTTGATCTTTGAGAAAATTATATTATTTATTATCAAGCACTTTAATATTATATAAAATTATGAATAAAATTAATTATTTGGTCAAACTAACTGGCTTGAATCCTATATAAATTTAATACAAAATTATATAAAAGAATTCTTTTAAACTTATAAATAATGAAATTTATAATAAAATTACAAAAAAATATTAGAATATCAAAATTATATTTATAAATAATAATAATAAGAAGAAAAAATTTATAAATATAATTTAAAATGATTATTTAAATATGCTAGATAAATTATAGATATTTTTATTAATATTTATATGATAATACAAGTAATAAATCAATAATTATTAAAGTATCTGTTTAAATTTAAATAAATTTTATATATATATAAATGTTATATAAAAAAAAGATATAATAATAAAATAAACTTAAATATATAAATATAAATTTATTTATATATTTAATAAAAACTAAAAATATTTATAAAATATAATAAAAAAATTTAATATCTTTAATTTAAATAATATAAATATTATTAGATTTATAAAAAATAAATATTTAAAAAAAAATATAATAATATTTAAATTAATATACAATGACAATCAAAAATAATGCAACGCTTAAATTTTTTATTAATTATAATTAGTAAAATATGTATTTTTCCTTACATATAAAAGTTTTTAATTTTACTAATAAATATTTTTTATTTT